TTTTTTTTTTTTTTTTTTTTTGGCTTACACGTTATAGTCTCTGAGCCCCTGGTACTATTCCACTGCCGCTACACAATTACATGCCTCGTCTCCAACAGTCATCACTTCTCATGGGTTGCAGTAAAAAGAAGATGCACAAGTCTTAAATGTACTTCCTCAATAACAGGAAGTGGTCTTACCTTCCACATTTTTGCTGAAACTCTTTAGCTGGCGGGAGAAAAAGGGAAACAGTCTGCTGTAAAGGGTCTAAAGTCTGTTTCCACGCCTGTGTTTCATATGGAACAGAAAGTATGTATATTTAAGTAGTACTCTTTTCCGATGAATGATAGAAATAACTGTATTTCTCAAAGTGCAGGAGCTTTTCTCTACACAGCACATTGTGCTTATTCCTACAAGGTTTTCGAGATATACAGCATTAGATATTGAGTTAAGAAATAAAAGCTAGATGTTCTTGTTCAGTTTTGTTTTATTAGCCCAAGCAGCTTTCTTATCTATTGGGAAAACACACGGCAGGCTGGTGAAGCTTGTACAAGGAACAAATTCTGGGACAAATAAACCAAAATTGTTATTAACAAAACTGTGACTCTTAAATTTCTCGAACCTCAGCTTTGCTTTCATTATCTCAATGACTCTCTCAACTTTAACCAAAGCCCAAGTACTCGGAACCTAATCACCTCTAAATAAAATAGACAAAACTCAGTTGTTTCTAAGGTGGAATATGCCAATTATCCTTAACTGGCCAGATCTAAAGATTCCTCTTAGAAGCTATCAGTTAACCCTTCTCCACAACTTTTATCATATCCCACAACACAGAAGAAACTGTCCACAAAAATGAGCAGCCTCAGCAATGAAACAGAAATAGAGCATAAGCACTGCTGGGTCTGTACTTGGTGACGTGGTGCTAAGCAAAACATTTGTCCATACATATGAGTGATATCAAACTCTGCTGGCAGAGGCTAAAACAAACCTTCCTAGTTTTATGTAGAAAATACATAGGCTTATGTAGGTACAAAATTTTCATCTCCTATGAATCAGGCTATCTCATTGCACATGAACTCGGTAAGAAAGTGATAAAAACCCATCAGCTATGTTAAGAAAATGTCTTGCTTCTACCCTCTAAGATTAACTAAAAAATCTTGGAAAAATAAACTTGTAACAAATTTCACCTAGAAGGTTGTCAACCAGACTTTGCAAGATGTCATAGTCAAATTTGTTTTGAAAGTTCAAATAGACTATGGGTCAGCTCTGACAGAAGGGGTGGGTTTCTTACTTTATCCACTTCTGAAAGTTCATTGAAAAGACGCATATGTAACAGGAAAGCATCATTAGCTCCACACGCCTCCAAATTCTCCTGGGTATCTGCTCAAATAGCAACGCTGTTGGGAATGCGATCTGGGGACAGGTAGTAGTAAGGAAGCTTTTTGTTCTTGTTGCGCTCAGTGACGGCATTGACAATCTCGTCCAGATTCTTGCGGAATTTTGCCATAGCCTCTTTCACTGGTTTCTCCACGAAGTGTTCATCTGGGTACATGCCCAGAAACAGCTAGTTGAAAAACACCAAGAAATCATGCTTTGAGAAAGCAAAGGCTATTCTGTTGCAACACTATGTCATCCAGCAGAACAACACTCAGAGCGTCACAAATGCTACTGTTAAAATAGTACTACCAGTATTTAAGCTAGCCTACGCTGGCACTGCCAATGAAAGATACTGTGCCATCCTCCCTCCACTGCTGGCTGTTTCTTTCCATCCCTGCATCTTTCTGCAGTGCTGGTTCAGTCTATGCAGCACAGTCTATGTGGCACCTCCTCCACCTGCAGGGAGCTGATCCACCAAAAAATAAGCACTTTTATTCAGGCTAGTGGTCAGCCAGATCAGCTTCCCAAGCCAGATCTCTGCATAACCACTCAAACATTTGTGCTGCTAAAGAAAAGGACAGCATGGGAGGGGAATGAACAGCCAAGGATGAAAAAGGAAGACAACTGCTTCTTTCAGTGACAGTGGAAGTTTCTGTTGACTTAAAAATGTCCTTCAAAGTTGAACCTGACAGTTGCTTTAGTCAGCTTGGACTCTAAGGGTGCCCGGATTGCCAATATGCATACTGGCATATTACCTGCTTTAGGTAACTATTTGCCATGGTACTACCCATACTACTAGCTTCTCAGCTGAAATCTGCTTTCTGCTTAAAAAGAAACTTGATTTGAAGTATCCTCTGTCTATCATCTTCCATTTAAGGATTTCAAAACACATCCTCCAGACACCGCCCTTGGGTGAGACAACCAAATACCTACAACTTAATTTTACATGAAGGAAATGGCTATAGACCATGCTGGCAAAGCCTCCTGTAGAATTCCACACCAGCCAGGCACAAGGCACAGCTGTAGAGCACGTGGCACTGGGGCAGATTTTCCAAAGGGACAGGACATGGGAACACAGCAGTACTGTAGCTTCTCCACCAGCACTGCTGGGGCAAAGGGTGGAGAAAACCCTTGTGCCTCTGCAGCCCTCTTCATTCCACACCAGCATCCTTACTCAGCAATGCCACGCTTGAGTTTAAAAACTTTCATTTTGGCTGAAACACAGCCTCAGAGTCAAAATACGACTTCTTGCTCAGAGCTGGTTTGCATCTGGCAGAACAAGGGCAAACCCACACCACTGATATATCTCCCAAAAAAAGGCAAACATGGTCAAGTCAAGCACAGAGCAGCACTACGATCTCATGAGTCCATGTGGTCTTGCCATGGCCCTTGTGGTCTCACCTACACCTCCACCACCTAGAGAAGTGAGGTTGACTTACTTCATTGTCTTGGAATTGGCTCAAGGCCCAGACAGCTCCAAGATGCCAACAAGAACGTCCCCTGTCTGGCAGACTCTCCACAATTTGCTCGATGGTGACTGTCCCCTTTTCTGTTGGAGGAGGGCAGCGCATTGTTGGTGGGGCATTGGGAATCCAGGAACACCAGTCATACTGCACAACAAAGTGAGAGAACACAGTGAAAAGCTACGGTGGCTGGTATTCAGGAATACTGCAAAGAAAATCAGGAGTCTTGACACCAGGGAGCTTGCTTCTGGCCTCTTGGAAAGAGAAGATGCTAACTAAAGGACAGAGAGATGCTCTAGAGAAGGACTGAAGGAGACAAGGAAGTCCTTACTGTCCTCCTCACAATCTCACAAGGGAGAAAGTTGGGTTGTCTAAATGGGAGCAGTTAATTTGCTAACCATGGGCATGCACCACACAGCCCAGATTCACCAGCCAGTCCAAAGACTTTTATTAAACAAAGATCTCCTCTGATAATCTGAGGCAGCCTCTGATAAAAAACCCTATAATTGATAAAATCTCCTTTTCTCCAGTTACTCTTTTCTGCAAAATTTGCTCTAAGAACACGCCCACAGTAGTGTGGTCAGGCAGTAAGTGAGGCAAAGGATGCTGGTGCATCATGGAATATGGCATGTGGATGTGGCCATGGTGAGCACCAGACTGGGAACTCAGAATCACTTCTGGCCTTCTTCAATGTTGTGGGATGGTGATGTCTCATTTTGCCTCGTATGTGACCACGAGTTTTGCCGCCATCTGAGGTGTTGCACTCACTGTAACTCTTTCTTTTCCATTTTTCTTTTTCACTACTCCTGCCCTGCCTGGAGGAAAGTCCATTTCATTTGTCTGCCATGCTTACACTCTCCAATGCATAGCCATCTCCTCCTACCCTCAGTTCTCTCTCTGCCATTTTTTCCCATGGCTGAAGATCCTTTTGCTGATGGGCTGAATGTCCTCTGCATGCCAAATCCCCCCTCTCATTCTCTGAAGGCTCTCCGCTAAGCTAACAGCCTGGGCAATATTAAGAGACCGTTTCTTAGTGATACTTGAACAGAGAGGATTTCCTGAAAGGGAGGTTGGGAGATGTCTCAGTCACTTGTAATGACAGTTTAGAAGTGAATAGTCACAGAGGTCCTCGGTCATCAGTGTGACACAAGAATGCCACCACTCTACACCTGCTCCAGGGCTCCTGAGCTGCAGGGCTGGACAGGAGGATCAACATGGAGAGTGATGTGGGATGTGTTTGGGAATAATCACCATAGGAAAGATGGTCTCCCTGATTATCTGTGAGATCATCCATGCCTGAAGCCAGGACATGTGCCAAAAAAAAAAAA